TATGGTTTTCGGATACCCTCCTCGCTCAGGCGGGGCCTCCCTGGATGGGTGGGAGGGGCACGAAACCATGTAAATAGTATGGTTTTCCGATACCCTCCTCGCTCAGGCGGGGCCTCCCTGGAGGGGTGGGAGGGGCACGAAACCATGTAAATAGTATGGTTTGCGGATGCCCTCCTCGCTCAGGCTGGGCCTCCCTGGAGGGGTGGGAGGGGCACGAAACCATGTAAATAGTATGGTTTTCCGATGCCCTCCTCGCTCAGGCGGGGCCTCCCTGGAGGGGTGGGAGGGGCACGAAACCATGTAAATAGTATGGTTTGCCGATACCCTCCTCGCTCAGGCGGGGCCTCCCTGGAGGGGTGGGAGGGGCACGAAACCATGTAAATAGTATGGTTTGCCGATACCCTCCTCGCTCAGGCGGGGCCTCCCTGGAGGGGTGGGAGGGGCACAAAACCATGTAAATAGTATGGTATTCCGATACCCTCCTCGCTCAGGCGGGGCCTCCCTGGAGGGGTGGGAGGGGCACGAAACCATGTAAATAGTATGGTTTGCGGATACCCTCCTCGCTCAGGCGGGGCCTCCCTGGAGAGGTGGGAGGGGCACGAAACCATGCTCCTCGCTCAGGCGGGGCCTCCCTGGAGGTGTGGGAGGGGCACGAAACCATGTAAATAGTATGGTTTGCGGATACCTTCCTCGCTCAGGCGGGGCCTCCCTGGAGGGGTGGGAGGGGCACGAAACCATGTAAATAGTATGGTTTTCCGATACCCTCCTCGCTCAGGCGGGGCCTCCCTGGAGGGGTGGGAGGGGAACGAAACCATGTAAATAGTATGGTTTTCCGATACCCTCCTCGCTCAGGCGGGGCCTCCCTGGAGGGGTGGGAGGGGCACGAAACCATGTAAATAGTATGGTATTCCGATACCCTCCTCGCTCAGGCGGGGCCTCCCTGGAGGGGTGGGAGGGGCACGAAACCATGTAAATAGTATGGTTTGCGGACACCCTCCTCGCTCAGGCGGGGCCTCCCTGGAGGGGTGGGAGGGGCACGCCATGGTATGGTATGGTACGGTATGGTACGTATGGTGTGGTATGGTATGGTATGGTATGGTATGGTATGGCATGTGTGGTAGGAACTATGGTATGGTATGATGTGTGTGGTAGGAATAATATTGTGCTGTATGGAAGATGGAGCGGGAGGTGGGTGGTAAGGAGAGGGTGTTCTGGGAAAACAAGAACCCCATTCAGGATGTGTGGGGGAAAGAAGAAACAAAAAAAAAAAAAAAAACGTTCCCCTGAAATCCCGAATAAAAAAACAGTACGCGGAGGGGGGCCGAATATCTCCCGGACGCCACCAGGAGAGAGAGGAGAGTAGTATTCACAGTGCTTAGCTGTGGAGTAGAAGGGCGGGAAGGGGACGAGGGGAGGGGGCGGGGGGGAGGTGGAAAAGCAGGGGGAGAAGGGAGGGACGGGGCGAAGTATGGGGAGAGGCGGTGAATGGGCAGCGGGGGGGGGGGCACCCTTCTCCGCCGAAAGGGCACGAAGGCTGGCCACGCAGCAGCAGCAGCAGCAGCAGCAGCAGCAGCAGCAGGGGAGAGCGCCTTGCAGCGTCGTCCACTCCAGCACGCTGACCCGCCAACCTGCCTCCTCCTTCCCTCCCCCTTCCGCCTCTCCCTCCGCCTCCCCTGCCAACGCCATCCCCCTCGCCCTCCCCCCTTTCCCCCTCTTGCCCTCCCTATCTTCCCTGCCCGGCCCCCCCCCCCGGCCCCTCTCCACCTTCCCGCTCCGCCTCCCTCCTCCCCTCCCCCTCCTCCTCGCCTCCATGGCCGCGTCGATGTCGCACTTCCCGTGCATGGCGTCCGCGAGGCACCTGCGGGAGGACGCCCGAGCGCCCGCCTGCGCAGAGAGTGGCAGGCAGTCTTGGGCCCTGGCTCGGCGGGCAGGCCCCTGACCTGGTCAGGAGGGCGTGCCCACCGGCCAGGATCGGTGCAGCCCTCCGCTGAGCAGCTGAGCTATTGTCTGCTGCTTCCTCGTCTTCCTCGTCTTCCTCCTCCTCCTCCTCCTCCTCCTCCTACTCCTCCTTCCTCCTGTCCGCCTCTACTCTCAATACTCATCCGGCCGCTCATGCATCACTCCGACTCCGACTCAGCCTCCGCCGCCTCCTCCTCCCTCCTCCTCCTCCTCACCTCCTCACATCTCCTCCTACTCCCTCACTACATACTCCTCCTCCTTCCTCGTCAGACCCAGGCCTCGGGCGGCCGTGCGGGGCACGCACCAGAACGACACGAACACCTCGGGAAGAGGCCCGGAATTCTGGGGAGCCGGGGGGGGGGTAGGGGAGGGGGCGAAGGCCTCGAGGATCCTCAAAAAAAAATTCGCACACCTGCGGTAGGTTCGTACGGCGTCAACGCGCGCAAAGGTTTTTGACCCCGCATCGATCGTTCGACCTCGAATCGATCACGGCCCCGATTGTTCAGGGTTGAACTCCGTCGGGTCCAGTGGCGCTACCGTACCTCTGGGTGCTTCCGCGTCGCAGAATTCAACCTTGAACGTCGTCGCCGGCGTCGCAGGCGCGACACCGCCGCAGGAACCTACCGTACTCTTAACTAGGTCGGGCATGTCCTCCTACAGGCTGATGTTGAATGGAAAGTGAAAAATAGCCCAAAAAATAAGCAAGAGTAGTTCAAAGAGCACGACAAATCGTCACCACGCTATTTTTCTACTGCTCTTGAATATTCCCCCTGTAAAAGGATATGCCCGACTTAACCGAACCCCCCCCTCCGAAGTCCCATGGAGTCCCCGGAGGGACACGGAAGGGAAACCTTGGGAAAACATGCAGAACACGTGCGGGAAAACCGCCCCCGGCAGCTGGCAGGCGCCTCCGAGCATTGGCGGAAGGGTCAGGGGGAGGAGAAAGAGGGGGAGGAGAGGGGGAGGGTGAAATGAGTGAGGGGAGGAAGAGGAGGAGGAGGAGGAGGAGGAGGAGGAGGAGGAGGAGGAGGAGGATACCATGAGCGAGGAGGAAGAGGAGGAGGAGGAGGAGGACGGCGGCGGCTGGCCGTGGCCAGAACCTTCGAAGCCCTCCGAAAACCATGCGGCGCCCCCTCCGTCTGTGGCTCAGCTGGAATCCTCGGCGGCGGCGTCCGTCGTCGGCGGCCGTGCAGGAAACCGGCACTGGGGGAAGCGGGTCCTGGGCCCTGGGCTTTCCCCCTGGGACCAGCTTCTCGTTCTAAGCAGTGTCCTGACAGCCCCCGAGCCAGGTGTTAGGCCGGGCATGTCCTCCTACAGGCGGATTTTGGACCAACAAATAGAAAATGTCAAAAAAATGTTCACGCTCGGTGCCCCATAGGGCGCTCCACCAAAGGCCCCAGTGGCAGGGTCCGCATGCAGTTCCACCTCCATGTCGGCGCACCCCGCACACGCTTCGTGGCCGCATAGAGAGCTCCACCGAAGGCCCCAGTGGCAGGGTCCGCATGCAGTTCCTCCCCCAGTTCGGCGCACCTCTCACACGCTTCGTGGCCCCATAGGGCGCTCCACCAAAGGCCTCAGTGGCAGGGCCCGCATGCAGTTCCACCCCCATTTCGGCGCACCCCTCACACGTTTCCTGACATCCGCCGATGTGTTTTTTTCTTTCTCGGTCCGCGGCCCTGCAATTTCTCGACCGTCTCCCTCGCCCCAGCCTCACTCTCGATGGCCCCGGGCCCGACAAGGGCCCACGAGGCCCAGAACCAAGGATCGGCGGCGAGCCCATGTGGAAGCGGGAAGGGTCGGGCCTTCTGAGAAGCGTTTTGCGCCATCCCTGGAGGTTGCAGCAGAAACAACAGCAACAACGACAACGACAACGACAACGACAACGACAACGAGAACAACAACGACAACGACAACGACAACGACAACGACAACGAGAACAACAACGACAACGACAACGACAACGACAACGACAACGACAACGACAATGACAACAACAACAACAACAACAACAACAACAACAACAACAACATCAACATCAACGACAACGACAACAATCATTGTAAGACTGTTAGCGTTTATATGCTCGCGTGTCATTCAATATGCATATCCCAAACCCTGGATACCCGCCCTCTTCGTCTTCGATCGTGCCCCCTTTTGGGGGGTAGATTCATTCCCTGCCACGTGTAACGGGGGAGAATGAGGACGAAAGGATCGGATGAAAGGAGGGGAGGGGCGAGAAGGAGGGAGGACGATGATTTGCGCTGCGAGTGGCGATTCAGTTTGCGCCATGGCTTGCGCCAGCCACTCCAACGCCATGGGTCGCGCCATACACAGCGCCATGTACCACCCCCTTGAAACAACATATCGTGGATACCCCCACAGGGGGACGTACAGCTGCGAACTGGTGTCAAAAACAAACTTCGTGGAACCCTTCGTATCTGGGGCCGCAAAGGGCGACAGCGGGGTCCCTGAGGGCAGCAAAGGGGCCACGAAGGGCAGCGAGAGGGCCACGAAGGGCGACAGCGGGGCTACGAAGGGCATGCGTATGGTTGCGAGGAAGTCCAAAGCGAGAGCGCGATTCTCCAATAAACCGTAAGGAAGTATCAGGCGGGAGCTGCGATTCGGTGGTAGAAGGCCCAAGCGAGAGCGCGATTCTTCAATAAATTGTAAGGAAATATCAGGCGGGAGCCGTTGTTGGCGCGGGCCACGACGGGCGCGAACGAGCGGGGGCCACGAAGGGCATACGTATAGGGGGCCGCAGAGGGTAGCGTCGGAGCCGGTGAGGACAGAAACAGGGCCACGAAGGGCAGAGAGGGGGCCACGAAAAGCGACAGCGGGGCCACGAAGGGCATGCATATGGGGCCACGACGTGCGCGAACGAGCGGGGACCACGAAAAGCATACATATATCACGCCAGAAAGGGCGACAGCGAGACCACTGAGCGCAGAAAATGGGCCACGAAGGGCAGCGAGGGGGCCACGAATGGCGACAGCGGGGCGACGAAACGCATGCGTATGGGACCACGAAGGGCGCGAGCGAGCGGAGGCCACGAAGGGCAATTAATCCGGGGCCACAGAGGTCAGCGACGGGGCCGCTGAGGGCAGAAACGGGGCCACAAAGGTCAGAGAGGGGGCCACGAAGGGCGACAGCGGGACCACGAAGGGCATGCATATGGGGCCACGACGGGCGCGAACGAACGGGGGCCACGAAGGGCATTCGTATATGAGGCCACAAAGGGCGACAGCGGGGCCACTGAGGGCAGCAAAGGGGCCACGAAGGGCAGCGAGAGGGCCACGAAGGGCGACAGCGGGGTTACGAAGGGCACGCGTATGGGGCGACGACGGGCGACTGCGAGCGGGGGCCACGAAAGGCATATAATGCGGGGCCACAATGGGCAGCGACGGGGCCACTGAGGGCAACAACGGGGCCACGAAGGGCAGCGAGCGAAGGCGATCGCGGAACCAGCACGGGCAACGAGGGGCATCGAAGGCGAGCGAAGGGCAGCGAGCGGCGACTGCAGTCCCTAACGGGCTGGTCGAGCGGGCAGGCCCAGACGGGCGGGTCCAGCGGGCGGGTCGTTGAAGCCTAAATTCTGCTTGAACCGCCAAGCAATATGTAGCGGGAGCTCCATTCCCGAGTGTCGAGGAGCGGCATCTGAACAAATCGTAAGGAAGTATCATGCGGGAGTCGCGATTCGGCGGTAAAATGCAAGGAAGTCCCCAACGAGAGCGTGATTCTTCAATAAAGTGTGAGGAAATATCCAACGGGAGCCGCGATCCGGTGGTAAATTGCAAGGAAGTCCCAAGCGAGAGCGCGATTCTTCAATGAATAGTAAGGAAGTATCAAGCGGGCCGTTGTTGTTGTAAACCGGGGGCCAACAACGCAGTTTGACCCTCGAGACTTTCCCTTATAAAAAACCAGGTGCGAGCCCCAGGAAGGGCACTGAAATCGAAAAAAAAAAAAAAAAAAAAAAAAAAAAAAAAAAAAAAAAAACCGCGACCGAAAAAAAAAAAAAAAAAAAAAACCGCGACCGAGGAACCCCACATACATAGTTTAAGTCGCGTGTGTTCGCAGACCCTCGCCGCACATCTGAACCATTGCAATCTCCATCGCCAAACATGGAGGTGGCAGCGCATCCACGGCGATTTTGGGAAGCATGGCTGCCGCGCAGGTCGGGCGGTGCTCTGAAGTAGGACTACAGGAGCGCGCCTGCGTGACAGCGCAGGCGCGCCGAGCCAGCTTGAGCCAAAGTGTTTACAGATCTTGACAAGACACAAGTTCCCACCCCCAGCGCACCCCCTGTGGCGTCGAGGAAATGCCTAGATAAAAGCAATTAACAAAGCGAGGCGTAGCCAACTGCCACGCCTTGCCACGCCCTGGGAGCCTGCAACGCATAGGGCCCCCAACCCTAGCGCACTCCCCTGTAGCGGGAGGGAAAGTCCACGCCTGCCACGCCTGGGAGCCTGAACGCATAGGGCCCCACCCCCACCGCCCACCCCCTGCGGCGTCGAGGAAAAGTGGCCCACGCCTGCTATGGCTGGACGACAGTCCGTGCATAGCGCCGCGCTCAGGGCACACCCCTGCGCACCCCCTATGGTGTCGAGAAAGTGCCACGCCTGCTGTGCCTGGACGACCGTCGTGCACAGCGGCCGCGCTCAGGGACCACCCCCTGCGCACCCCCTATGGTGTCGAGAAAGTGCCACGCCTCCTGTGCCTGGACGACAGTCGTGCATAGCGACCGCGCTCAGGGACCACCCACTGCGCACCCCCTGTGGTGTCGAGAAAGTGCCATGCCTGCTATGCCTGGACGACCGTCGTGCATAGCGGCCGAGCTCAGGGACCACCCCCTGCGCACCCCCTCTGGTGTCGAGAAAGTGCCACGCCTGCTGTGCCTGGACGACCGTCGTGCATAGCGGCCGCGCTCAGGGACCATCCCCTGCGCACCCCCTATGGTGTCGAGAAAGTGCCACGCCTGCTATGCCTGGACGACCGTCGTGCATAGCGGCCGAGCTCAGGGACCACCCCCTGCGCACCCCCTCTGGTGTCGGGAAAGTGCCACGCCTGCTGTGCCTGGACGACCGTCGTGCATATCGACCGAGCTCAGGGACCACCCGACCCATCACCCACCCCCAGTGCAGCACACCCCTGTGGTGTCATGGTGTCGAGAAAACGTGCCACGCCTGGCTATGCCTGGGCGCCCCTCGTTGCATAGCGGCCAGCTCAGCGACCACCCCCTGCGCACCCCCTGTGGTGTCGAGAAAGTGCCACGCCTGCTATGCCTGGACGACCGTCGTGCATAGCGACCGCGCTCAGGGACCACCCCCTGCGCACCCCCTGTGGTGTCGAGAAAGTGCCAAGCCTGCTGTGCCTGGACGACCGTCGTGCATAGCGGCCCAGCTCAGGGACCACCCCTCTGCGCACCCCCTATGGTGTCGAGAAAGTGCCACGCCTGCTGTGCCTGGACGACCATCGTGCATAGCAGCCGAGCTCAGGGACCACCCCCTGCGCACCCCCTGTGGTGTCGAGAAAGTGCCACGCCTGCCGTGTGCAAGCGAGAAGGAGAAGGGGAGGAGGGAGGTGTGAGACGCGGCTGCGGCGCGGCAGGGAAGAAAACTAGAACCCCACGAAACATGTGGGGGGGGGGGGGAAATGTGCACCGGACGGGGGGGATCAACAATAATCATTCTTCAGAAATGAGAGTTCAACAAGAACAACAACAGCAACAACAACAAAATGTTATACATATGTCTGTTTACATAACATACTTGAACCTAATATTTATATACATACCAACCAAAACATACCCCCAACAAATAAAAAAAATAAATACAAAAAAAATGGGAAATCTGGGATGGACGCTGCCGGCGGCGCCGTCGCCGGCCGGAGGCGAGGCCCCCGCGAGCCTGGTGCGGAAGGACGACGCCCCGTCCGCGCCCAGGGCGCCCGCGCCAGCGGCCGCGCGCAGCGCTGGCGGGGTCAGCACGGACGGCCTCCCGCTCGACGAGCTGCTGGGGGCGGCGGGGAGGGCGGCGGGGGCCAACCGGCGGCTAGCGAGGGGGGGAAGGTCAGAGGAGGAAAGGTTACACCCATGGCGCTGCCTTGCCCCCGTTTTGACATGTGGGGGGCCTCCTGGGAGGCCCTCGTCGCCACCGCTGGAGCTGCCTCGAAATTCTGGTCAGAACGCGCCCTGGGAGAGGTCCGGGGAGCAGAGGTATCATGACCTTTTGGCGTCCTCAGAGAAAAGGAAAAGGCCCTCTCAGGAGGCGGCGTGACTTCTCAGAAGCCCTGCGGCCTTCTGGGCAGTTTTCTGCGTCTTCGGGGAAGTTTCAGAAAAGTTCTCCGAAGGCTGGGGAACTTCCGCCTTCTGAGAAGGCGCGCCGCGCTGGGCGGAGCTCTCGGTCGACCGCGCCGTCGTCGCGAGCGCCGCCGAGCGCCCTTGCATTTTGCATCTCGTACCTACACATGTAGACATAGATGTGTATATATATACAGATAGGCGTGTACATGCACATGTGTGTAAATATGGATATCTATATATATATATATATATATATATATATATATATATATATATGCATACAAGCATACAAGCATACATACATACATGCATGCATGCATTCATACATGCATACATACATATATACCTACCTACCTACCTACCTACCTACATGCATACATACATACATACAATACAATACAATACAATACAATACAATACAATACAATACAATACAATACAATACAATACAATACAATACAATACATGCATGCATGCATGCATGCATACATACATATATTACATACATTACATACACTACATACATACATGCATGCATGCATGCATGCATGCATACATACATGCATACATACATACATACATAAATACATGCATACATACATACATACATACATACATACATACATGCATGCGTGCATACATACATACCTACATACATGCATACATGCATACATGCATACATGCATACATGCATACATGCATACATGCATACATGCATACATGCATGCATGCATAAATACATACATGCATGCATGCATGCATACATATAAGCAAACATACATACATACATACATACATACATACATACATACATGCATGTATGCATACATGCATATATGCATACATGCATACATACATACATAGATACGTATACATATACATGTATATACACATATACATATACATATACACACATACATATACGTATACAAATACCTATACATATACATATACCTATACATACACATATACATATACATATACGTATACATGTACATGAGCATGAACATATACACATACATAGACATATGCATGTACATATACATATACATGTACATATACATATAGATTGAGGAGGCATTGCTCTGGGGCGGCCTTGACCCCGTGAGTGGGCCCAGGTCTCCTGGAGTCTCCACCCTGGAGGGCACGGTGGCCCGATGGCGCGAATGGCCTGGGGCTTGTGGTCCAGACCGCACGGACGAGGCCAAGTCGTGGGAGAGAGGAAGAAGGAAACTCGGAGGGAGGAAGGGAAGGGGAGAAGGAAGATGCGTTGCATCTTCGGGGAACCTGCTCTGCCTTGACACTCCAAATATCCATGTCGAATCCGCGTCGAAACCATGTCGAACAAATCGAATCCGCGGATCCACATCGGGTAAAGAAAAGACCATAATCAGCAGGACAGGCACGGCCCCCCAAAGATGAAACGTCAGGGAAAGCAGAGCAGGAGGCGGAGAAGGCCATTGGCGTACCGAGCGCCAGCTCGAAGGCGGTGTGACGTTCGTCCTTTCCATTTCTCTTTCGAGACGAGATGCCGAATCAACGCGCGGAACACAAATGGTCCACTCCGGAAACCTATGAATCTAAACATGTTGACGTTCCGCTTTCTCGGTCGCCGCCTTCCACCGATAGTCCGCAAGCTTCCGCCGGCGGCGGCGGTGGCGGTGGCCACGCGCTGTCGATCGCGCCGCGCGGGCGCTGCGCGGGGTGGCGCCCGAGCGCCGGGAAGATAGATGGCAAGGGAGCTGGGTGCTCAGAGAAGGGGGCTCGCTACCCGCAGATCTGGCGTCGGGTCGAAGTGTAGCCATGCCGCGCGTTCCCGGAGTGGCCGACACCACCCTGGGCGCTGGCGTCCCAGGGCGCTGGGCAGCGCCCAGGTGGGGCAGAGAAGTCTGGGGAGGTGGGCAGCGCCCAGGTGGGGCAGAAGTCTGGGGTGTTTTAGATTGCAGGGGCAGAAGTCTGGGGAGGTGGGTGCCAGGTGGTGGTGGTGTCGAAGATGTCCGCCGGCGGGCCCGCGGCAATTGCCTGCTTCCTCTGGCTTCCGTCGAGGGCAGGGCGCGCCGAAGGCCGGACCCCTGCTGGAAGTCCCAGTGCTGCCCCCGCCCAACCGAGCAAGAAGGCCACGCATGCACCGCACCCACATTTCGTGTACGCACTCACTGGGTGGAGCAGCAGAGTCTACCGTCGACCCGATCGATGTCTCCAGGGATTCAGCGCTGCTGGCTGTTGGTTGTCGGCATGACGAGTCGTACGTACTGGCACAAACACATTCGAACGGTAGCGATGGCAATACGCATTGGATCTGCAAATCGAACGGTTTTGATTCCACCGCAGCACCAACATTGATATACGATCCGACGGGCACTACGCGAACAACTGCTACATCCATGCATACCTACCTCCCCCGGGTTGCACTGCGGATCTTCCGTTGGGTAACTTAACGACACAGACACCGACAATCTCCAGACCTCTAAAGGGGCGCGTTCTGACCAGGACTCTGGGGCGAATCTGGCCGAGGCGACGAGGGAACCCCGGGAAGCCCAAACATGTGGAAAACGAGGCAAGGTATGTATTTGTGTCGACACGCTTCTCTCTTCAGATTGAACATGTCTACCTATCCGTTTTTCGCGCGCCGCAGGCGCATCACGGTTTTCGGCGTTCGGGTAGGCTGACGGCCATGCACGGGCAAGCCGGATGTGAAAGGCAAGGGTCAGCAGGCGCACTGCCTTGCAGCACATTTCTGTCGGCGGCTTCGGAGCGCGGACCCGGAACGGTCAAGCTTGCACTGGGCTGCAGTGGAAACGAATTGCTGCCTGGCAAAACCTGCGAAGCATCGGAGAGGAGGCCAGTGGCGTCTGCGCGCGACCTGTCGCGGCAACACACAGCTCGCACGCGGAGATACCCGCGCAGCCGACCCCGATAACGAGGATGCACGACGAGGGGGAGGGGGGGCTGGCGCAGCGGGGGCCCATTGACTCAGAGTCGGCGATGCATGCCCGGTAGATCGGCGAGAGGCCCTCGATAGCGAAACCGCACGTTGCAGGGTGGGAAAGGAAGCCCAGGCCCCGAGAGGCGGTGAATGGGCGATGGGTGGGTCAATGCTTCCCCCCGCCCCTGGGCCTGCAAGTTCCCCTTGAGCGAGAGCCTCGCCAAAATGGGTGCAAGATCTGGCCCCCAACATTTCCTGGGGTCGAGGGCCGGCTCGTCCGCCGAGCTGCGCCGAACCCAGGAACTACCTCACTGGCCGCCTGGGGGCCCAGCCAAAAGGCACCAGCGTGGAGATCCTCGATCCTCGTCTGGATCCCGGCCCTCGCCCCCCAGAAATTTAACGCTCAAGACCTGCCCTCTGAAACCACACCTTCCGCGGCCACTCGTGGGCAGGTTTGCGATATGCCTCAAGCCGTAGCGACGAATCCCCCCCAGAAGTACCCACAGCCTCAGAGACGACGTTGCCGCCGTCGCCGACGTATGGGGGGTCCAAAAAGTACAATCGGACCCAAGCCAGCAGAACATTCACCAAGACCATGAGACATCCCGCCGTCCAAAACACATAGAACAGCCAAGGGTGCCCTCCCCAAGATGCACAGGACCAACAAACACGAAGAAGATCTGGGCACTCTCCCCGAGCCGACCTCGATTCCATACCTCGGTCCGACTGGATGGGGGGGGCACAAGGTGTCGATGCCGCTGCCCCCAGGAGCTGTCCCAGGGTGCGCACTGACCAGTAACTGCAGCCGTGGTGACGCGGGCACCGAAGCGCCGATATCCTGTTAGACCACATCGCGGCCTCAGGGGTTCCGACCCCGTCCCTGGGGCCACACCTTTGCCCCAGACTGAGGCTGGGCACGTCCTCCCACTGGCAGGCTTTGAAAGAAAAGCTATCCTGCGACGTACCCAACCCATCGGCACCAAGGGCTGGTATAAGGTGTGCCGACCATAGCGCGACAGCAACACTGCATTGGATGGTGCACGGCGGATATCTATATCGTGCGAAGTGTGCGTGGCCGACGCGCGGAACAAAGGCACAAAAGGCCAGGAGGCAGTGCACTGTTGCACTGGGAAGGGGAAGCAAAAGGAAGACATCGGGGCTGAAGAACAATCACCTCGGCAGAAGCAGCGAAATGATGGAGCATGGGCAAGACAAGCTTACCCAGGCGGAGACGCAATCACCCAATGAGGCGTCGCGTTTTGTCCATGGCGAAATGCTCAACACCTGCGCGGTCAGCGTTCCGCGTTGCTGCAGCCCCTCGGAAAATTAAAAGTTACTGTTACTAGTGCAAAAAGGAGTCAAGGCATAGCTCGCCCGCCAGCCTCTCCGCTTCCTCCCTGCACTTCCTAGTGCGAGCACCAAACGCGCGCAGGCGCGCCGCCAGCCCTAGAAAAAGGCGACAGATTCACACTTCGCGGCCCCCAAGTGATGGCGAGGTCCCGATTGGATCTGCGCGGGACCCCACTGTGCTGCCCCGCCCAACAGCCCTCTAATGTGGCGACTGTTTCACACTTCAGCCTCCCAGGGATAGGTTGGTCACGTTTGGATATACGTGGCACCCCACTGCGTTGGCCCCACCAGCAGCCCTTAAAAATGGTGACAGTTTAACACTTCGCAGAGCCCCCCCGAAGAAGGCGAGGACCCGTTTGGATCTGCGTTGGGGCCCACTGCGTTGGCCCCACCAGCAGCCCTCAAAAGTGGCGACAGTTTAACATTTCGCAGACCCCCCCCCGAAAAAGGCGAAGACCCGTTTGGATCTGCGTTGGGGCCCACTGCGTTGGCTCTCCCGGCAGCCCTCGAAAGCGGCGGCAACGTTCACACTTCGCAGCCCCTCAGGGATGGCGGGGTCCAGCTTGGATGTGCGTGGAAGCCCGCTGTGCGGGCTCCCCCAGCAGCCCTCGAAAGTGGGGACGGTTTCACACTTCGCAGACCCCAGGGATGGCGAGGTCATGTTTGAATCCACGTGGGGCCCCACTGTGCTTAACCTCCCCCAGCAGCCCTGGAGAGTGGCGACAGTTTCACACTTCGCAACCCCTCAGGGATGGCGAGATCCAGTTTGGGTCTACGTGGGGCCACACTGCGCGGACTCCTCCAACAGCCCTCGAAAGTGGCGACACACTCACACGTCGCAGCCCCCCAAGGATGGCGAGGTCCCGTTTGGGTCCGCGTAGGGCCCTGGTGCGCGGGCTCCCCCAGCAGCCCAAGTGGCGACGGTTTCACACTTTGCAGCCCCCCAGGGATGGGTTGGTCCCGTTAGGGTCCGCGTGGGACCCCATTGTGCGGGCTCCCCTGGCAGACCTCGAAAGTGGCGACAATTTCACGCTTCGCAGCCCCCTACGGATGGCGGGGTCCCGTCTGGATGTGCGTGGAACACCACTGTGCGGGCTCCCCCAGCAGCCCTCGAAAGTGGCAACAATTTCACTGTTCGCAGCCCCCCAGGGATCGTTTGGGTCCGCGTGGGGCCCCGGTATGCGGGCTCCCCCAGCAGCCATCGACACTGGCGACAACGCGACACTTCACAGCCCCCCTCAAGGATGGCGGGGTCCCGTTTTGATGTGCGTGGGGCCCCGCGCCCCCCATGCAGCCCTCGAAAGTAGCGACAATTTCATAGTTCGCAACCCCCCAGGGATGGCGAGGTCCCGTTCGGGTCCACGTGGGGCCACACTGCGCGGGTTCCCCCAACAGCCCTCGAAAATGGCGATAGTTTCCAACGCCACGGCCCCCCAGGAACGGCGAGGTCCCGTTTGGATGTGCGCGGAACCCCGCTGCGCGGGCTCCCCCAGCAGCCCTCGAAAGTGGCGACGGTTTCACACCTCGCAGCCCCCCAGAGCTGGGTTGGTCACGTTTGGGTCCGCGTGGGACCCCGCTGTCCCGCTGTGCGGGCTCCCCTGGCAGCCCTCGAAAATCACGATACTTTCAAATTTCGCAGCCCCCCAGGGATGGCGAGGTCCCGTTTGGGTCCGCGTGGAGCCCTGGTGTGCGGGTTCCCCCAGCAGCCCTCGAAAGCGGCGACAATTTTTATACTTCGCCGCCCCCCACGGATGGAGAGGTGCGGTTTGGGCCCGCGTGGGGCCCCAAAACGGCGACAATTTTACACTTCGCAGCCCTCCTGGAAGGCGAGGTCGTCTGGGTCCGCGTGGGGCCCCGCTGTGCGGGCTCCCCCAGCAGCCCTCGAAAGCGGCGAAAGTTCTCACACTCCGCAGCTCCTCAGGGATGGCGGGGTCCAATTTGGTTGCGCATGGAACCCCACTGTGCGGGCTCCCCCACCAGCCCTCAAAAGAGACGACGGTCTCACACTTCGCAATCCCCCAGGGATGGCGAGGTCCCGTTTACAATGTCAGCTTGTGGAGAACAAATCCGTGGGGGGCGCGTTTTTGTTTTCTTCTTTTTGATAAATCCCCCTGCTTGGGCGAATCGCGGGGAGGCGCCCGCCAGATTGAAAATCAACGGGGCGGCGCTGGTGATTAGCGCCGACGCCCGGCCGCTGACGAGGGGCAGGGTGGGGGTGGAGGCGAGAGCGAGCCCTCTTTCTGTCCAACCGATGCGGGCCTGCGGGCAAGGCGGGCTGGACGAAAGTGGGGCGCAGCAACGGGGGGGGATTTGCCGAGCAGCTCACGTCGCCGACGTTCCAGGCACCTCCCGGCGCCGAAAGCGGCCATGCGCCGAGGACTGGCCCCTCGGCGGGGCGACCGAAACCGGCTGCGCGCGGCAGGCTCTGCGACCCCCTCGTTCCTTCCCCGGCCCGTCGTCCGACCTGAGCCAGGCGGGTGGTCCTCCCCCTCTGTCGCCGTCGTCGCCGCCGTCCCCCGCCCTGCCTCCGCCCGTCTCCGGCGGCCGCTCTCGTCGTCGCTCGGGCCTGCGTGTCCTTCGCCACGGCGGAAGCGCGCCTTGAAGAAAGCGGGCCCCGGACCCCCGAGGTCCCCCATCGGTCGTCTTTCGGCCTCGCGGCCCGCCAGGGGCCGTAGGCCCGCCTCCTCCTCCTCCTCCTCCTCCTCCTCCTCCCTCCTCCCCTCCCTCCTCCTCCTTCCTCCTCCTCCTCCTCCTCATCCTCCTCCTCCTCCTCCTCCTCCTCCTCCTGCTCATCCTCCACCCCTCGAAAATCGCGACAGATTCACACATCGCAGTCCGCCAAGGATGGCGAGGTCCCGTTTGGGTCCGCGTGGGACCCCGCTGTGCGGGCTCCCCCCGGCAGCCCTCGAAAGTGGCGACAGTTTCACACTTCGCAGCCCCACAAGAATGGCGAGGTCCCGTTTGTTTCCGCGTGGGGCCCCACTGTGCGGGCTCACCCAGCAGCCCTCGAAAATGGCGACAGTTTCACACTTCGCAGCCCCCCAAGGATGGCGAGGTCCCGTTTGGGTCCGCGTGAGGCCCAAAAATGGCGACGGTTTCACACTTCGCAGCCCCCCTGGAAGGCGAGGTCTCGTTTGGGTCCGCGTGGGGCCCCGCTGTGCGGGCTCCCCCAACCCCATCGAAGATTGCAACAGTTTCACACTTCGCAGCCCCTCAGGGATGGCGCGGTCCCCTTTGGGTCCGCGTGGAACCCCGCTGTGCGGGCTCCTTCAGCAGCCCTCGAAAATGGCAACAGTTTCACACTCCGCAGCCCCCCAGGGATGGCGGGGTCCCCTTTGCGTCCGCGTGGGGCCCCGCTGTGCGGGCTCCCCCCGGCAGCCCTCGAAAGTGGCGACAGCTTCGCTTCATGAGAGGGGGACAGAGGGCGGGAGGAGAAGGACCAGGGAGCTGGCGACACCACTGCTCTCTTCAAAACGGGAGCCAAGGGAGGGTTGGGAACCATCAAACATTGTCAGCAGATCACGACGAATCGTCCCCTGATTATTTTCCCAATTCTTGAACATTCAATGCTCCTCCTGTAGGGAGACATGCCCGACTTAACCCCAGATCCGCTCTTGATGGCCCTGGGGCACGGCAACGGGTCCCGAACCAAAATCGAAGACAGAATGCCGCTTGGAAAAGTCACGTCGATGAAGATCTCGGGGCTCTCCAGGACGAGCGGCGGCATCGGTGTCTGTCTCCAGAGTGGGGGGGGCCGAACGGTCATTCACCGTCCCTTGTGAGGTTCCGCGTGGCTGAAGTCTGGGGTTCCGCGGTGTGGATTGTTACTGCGTCGTTGTTGTCGTCGTCTCACCGCGACACGCCCCGCGACCCAGCCCGCGACCCATCCCGCGACCCGCCCCCCGACCCGACCCGCGACCCACCCCGCACCCACGCCCTCACTCCTATCAGCAACTGTGGGGTGCTACAAAGATACTCCAATGGTTATGCGGCAACTTATGGGAGCCTGTCATACCATCTTGTTTGCTCTTGCGGATCGAATCATAATCGAAGCTAGTCGACTCGACGCTAAGTCGACGCCCATCGACGCTGAGTCGGCGCTCTCATATCGATGACCAGACGCTAGCGCACGCTAATGCACGCCAACGACGGAAACTACCAGGACACACGGCTCCCACTAGTGCCGCGCCTCTGGAACCCAAGATCCAAAAACGGTGTCGACCCCAAATCTGCTGTTGCGGAACTGGGGTCTCGACCTCGGCGAAACTACCCTGCAGGGCCCCGGCCGGCTGCACCGGCGCCATCTCGGCGGCTTCAGCAAGCTGCGCATGCCAACCGTGCGACACTTTCCATGATCTGCTACCGCACGAGCGTCGTCTCGGGGACGCACTGACCCGAGTGAATACAAACCCAGTTCAATCGGGCCAATCGCGCCCTCTTCTGCACATGCGTCCCGCTGGATGCTCGGCTTACTGCTGGTGGTGCTGGTGGTGGTTCAGTCGGGCCTCGCAGTATCCTGCAGGATCCTGCGCGCTATCCTGGGTCAGTGAACACCTGGTTTTGCAGGATCCCGCAAGCTCCAGTGCTCTGGCTGACCCCTGCTTGCATTGACCCCTGTCCCTCGAGCCCCGATGTCGTCGCCTCCTAGGAGGAGGAGGAGGAGGAGGAGGAGGAGGAGGAGGAGGAGGAGGAGGAGGAGGAGGAGGTAGGCGTGAAGGTGGAGACTTAGGAGAAGGAGGAGGAGGAGGATAAGGTAGATGAGGTAGAAGAGGTAGAGGAGGTAGAAGAGGTAGAGGAGGTAGAAGAGGTAGAGGAGATAGAAGAGGTAGAGGAGGAGGACGAGGAGAAGGAGGAGGAGGAGGAGGGAGGAGGAGGGAGGAGGAGTTGCCCCCGCGGCTGGCGGCCAGGGCAGCACAGCGCTCATCGCTCTCGGTTGATGCCGCAGGCAGGGGGGGGGAGGGGCCTCGCCGCGTCCGCCTCCGGGGCGCCGTGGTGCGGGCCCTTCGCAAGCAGAGGCGGCGGCGGCACCGTCTGGCCGCCGGAGGAGCTGCTGGGGGCGGCGGGGGGGGGGAGTTATGGGTCGGGGAGGAGGGTTGGAGGGTTCCAGGTCGAGAGGTTCTAGGTATCGAGGGTGGAACGATCGAGGAGGAGGAGGAGGAGGAGAGGAGTAGGGGAGGAGGAAGGAAGGAGGAGGAGGTCCTCCTCTTCTTCTTCCTTCGCGATCCTCCTTTCCCCCCCCCCCCCCCCCCCCCCCCCCCTCCTCCTCCTCCTCCTCCTCATCCTCGCTCCTCCTCCTCCTCCTCCTCCTCCTCCTCCTCCTCCTTCTCCTTGTCCCTCTCCTCCCGTCCTCCTCCTCCCTCCTTCTCCTTGCTCCTGCTCCTCCTCCTCCTCCGGGTCCTCCTCCTCCTCCTCCTCCCTCCTCCTCCCCTCCTCCTCCTCCTCTCCTCCTCCTCCTCTCCTCCTCCTCCTCCTCCGGTGCCTCCTCCTCGCTCCTACCTCCTCCTCCTCCTCCTCCACCTCTCCTCCTCCTCCTCCTCCTCCTCCTCCTCCTCCTCCTCCTCCTCCGCCTCCTCCTCCTCTTCCTCCTCCTCGGGAAGAGAAGGGAAGGAGGATCGAGGATCCAGGAGGAGGAGGAGGAGGAGGAGGAGGAGTTTGGGATCAGACTGGGCTCGTCTTGAGAGGCAGTCAGCAGTCGATTGTCGGGTCGGGATAAAGGGGGATAGCAAAGGGAGGTTAGCGAATCAGCTCGCGTAATTAGCTGATTCCCCTGGGCCTCCACCGCCTCCTTGCGCGGGAGACCGATGCATCGAAGAAATGACCCCCTCTTTCCTGAGCCCGCTCCTTCAGTCCGACCCAAGAGAAGCACTCAGCAATGGATTTCGGCCGATCTGGGGCTTCTGCTGGACCCGCTCGAGCATCCTTGTCGAAAGGGCGCCTCCACCTCGAAATTCTGGCGAGAGCCATGCGCTTAGCTGCAACAAATCGGGCTCAGCGGGGGCGCAGGGCTCCTTGCAGAAAGCAGCAGCCAGGCGTCAGGGGCCCTCACTCCCTGAGATAATAGAAGCCTCCTAGATGGGGTTCGAGTAGATGGGGTCGGAAGATCACGACGCATCGCCGATGCATCTGCAAAGCATCGGCGCCGTCGGCGCGGAGAGAATCGGGCTCCACATCGAGCCGCATCGCCGATGCATCGGCGATGCGGCGAGATCCTCCGACAGAAGCACCGTTAAAACGACCCCTATCCCCACCTGGGTGGCCTGGGCCCCACTGGCCGATTTACCCCCGTAAATAAGGAAGTAGGCCGTTCCCTTCGGGCTTCGAGGGGCATATCCCCAATCGGGGTGCTGAGATCGTCGGGCTCGAGATGGGGATGGGGATAGGCGTCGGGTAAACAATACTGAGGACCCCATCTGCTTGGACCCCATCTGGGAGGCTTCTACTACCTCAGGGAGGGGGAGTCCCTAACGCCTGGCTGCTGCTTGCTGCAAGGAGCCCCGCGCCCCCGCTGAGCCCGATCTGTTGCGGCTGTTCGCGCGGCTCTCGCCAGAACTTCGAGGCGGAGGCGGCCATGGCGACAAGAGGGATGTATCATTGCACCGGCCTTGCAGACGTGCTGCAGCGGATTCATGCGTGGATTTCTGCGTGGATGTTTGCCCCAAGCGGCGAGCGAAATACGAAGTGAGTTTCGCGTCGATGTTTTTGGGTCGTCATTCCTGGCCAAAAAAACGCACGAAATTCACCTCGAAATCCGGAACGAAATTATCCAGGACACCCCGAGCCCACCCCATCGTTTTCCGAACGAAGTCCGCTCGGCGATGTGGGCGCCATGAGATGTAGGCTGCTTCCTTCGGGCTTCGAGGGGCATTCCTCCTCCCCCCATCTCAGTGTCCTCCTCCTCCTTGTCCATCTCCTTGTCCTCCTCCTCCTCCTCCTCCTCTCTCCTCCTCCTCCTCCTCCTCCTCATCCTCCTCCTCCTCCTCCTCCTCCTCCTTCTCCTCCTCCTCCCCTGCTCCTCCTCCTGCTCCTCCTGCTCCTCCTCCTCCTCCTGCTTCTCCTCCTGCTCCTCCTCCTCCTCCTGCTCCCCCTCCTTGCTTTCTTCTCCTCCTCCTCCTCCTCCTCCTCCTCCTCCTCCTCCTCCTCCTCCTCCTCCTCCTCCTCCTCCTCCTTCTCCTCCTCTTCCTCCTCCTCCTCCTCCCCCCGCGCTCCCCCTCCGAGGCCGCCCTCGTCATTTCCAGTTCGGTTCTTTTCCGTCTCTGGGGGGGGGGGGCCTCACCGGGCGTCGGAGCCGTCAAAAACCGCTTCAGGATAAAAAACTGGCCCCGAGGAGTGGGTCTGGACCTCTGGGCGTGGACGCCATGGAAAAAGCACGACGTCGGGGTCTGGGAGGGAGGAGAGCAAGAGCACCCGTGCGAGCAAAAAACCGACTCGGGCAAGCTGGCCCGAAGGCACAATTCAGGGCCCCCACAG